GGTACAGATTTGGAACAAAAAAGTCACATTTTCCCAATGGGGCCAATGTTGTCCAAATTTCAGCCAACCTTGAAAAAAAGCAGCAATATGACTCACAGGAAACGATTTCGATAGCAAAACTGTGTTTTTTTGTTGTCTACAGAGTTTAGGAGTGTCACAACGAGAGTTAGGATTCCTCACAACACGGATTTATTTGAATATTTTATGTGTACTATTGCAAAAAAAGCTTATGGCACCTATAAGACTGTTTAAAACACTGAGGAGAGCATCCAGACTTGTTCTGTTAAACTGCTCTAGGCCTAGAAGATGTTTGAGGACCCGGAGGAGCCGTTAAAACAGCAGTGTCAGGGAAATGTCACCGTAATAGTCTTACCATGTCTCAGGCATTACAAAGCAGGAAGAAAGAGAGCTAATGCTGACTTCACATAAACCTAAACCGACAGTCACGTTTTCTGGTCCTCTCTGTACTTGAAACATTATTATTAGCATTTTACAAACCTCCTTTAATCTGAAGCGCCGGCAGGTAACTGCACTCGACAGCAAGGAGAAGCTTTTTATGAGCTATGTTTAGTTTTTTTGGCTCTAGCAGAAACGCAGATATGAAAAGTCAGTTTAGGATTCGATCTCGGGGAAGAGACTGGAAGACTGATCTCAGAGCAGATGAGACCTGTAAGAGCAACACACTTTTCTAATTATCCCTCTTCCAAATGTTCCTCCAATGAGTCTTCATGTTTTGGCTCTTGTTGCATCAAACCGCAATGACATTCACATGTCTTAACATATGCGCAGTTTTCTATGTATACAAAGAGTTGTGTAACTGTAGAGAACATGAGTTTTGAGGGTCATTTAAAAGGTGACGTAGCTGTTTGCGGATCGCTCCTAATTCCTTTCTCTGTGAATTAGGATCATCTTCAGAGTTAAAATGTCGCTGTTGGACATCTTGGGCTTTATATGGTTTAGTATAACCCATTAAAATTAGATCAAAGAGGGGCACCGCAACATATTTCATCAAAGATCTCACTTGAGAATAGACCACTTCCTTTCCTAACGCTGTTTGCACAGGTGAGAAAACTGCAAGCTAGGCACCAATCCCATGATTGCTGTTACCTCAAGAAAGTCCTGCTTCCAACACAAACAGCGTCCATTGTGATGTTTGAAAATCTGAAGTTAAAAACTGTGGCAAGCCCTTAGCATGACCTACATATTGTCGCCAACGTTCATCTCTGTGTCACTTATGGTCTGCATGCTGGCTGTGTGCTGGCCCGTCTTTTGTTGACTGTGTTATAAAAACATCTTCCTCCCACGCCGTTCCAGAAAGAGGTTTTTGGGAGCATTCATCGCTCTCCTTCAGGATAAAACAGAGTCATTGGCTTAGCATTTCTCTGGAGGAAAGCAAACAGCTTTTTTTAAGATGGATCATTTTATCAGCAACAATAAAATCGATCCAGACGAGTTTGTTTTTGAAGCCTTGTCTAACAAGGAGAGTTGGGTCATACTACAAAATGGGTCCAAATCGTAAAATGTGCAATAATTGTAATCTTTTGCTATGTCTTACTATATCTGAAGGATCATGTGACACTGAAGACTTCTATTTCGGATGCGATTAATCGCGATTAATCGGTTGACAGCACTAATATAAAACCTTTTTTCCCCATTTATTTTACTTTATATGTATGTTTAGATTTTAGCTGATATAATGTATTATTGAAAGATGTGTTCCAGAATATACAACAACTCCATTAGCATTATATTTTGCCCTTTTTTAATTAAATTTTTTTTATTTAATGTCATTATAGTTTCAGGAATTAAACTCTCCAAGGAAAATGTAAAATGCACCCATTTTTATCTAATGTTTTGTTATGCTTTTCAGTAGAGGATGATTGTAACATCTACCCTGTTACCATGACTTTGTATAGTAAACAATAAGTTTCACAATCTTGAGCACAAAGTTAATGTCCAACCTATGTTATTGCGCTGAAGCCAACATATTTTAAAATGTATTCATATATCATGAGATGAGACAATGCATAATCACTTCATCTGAAATCTTATAAAAATGCACTTTAAAATCACCTTTTCAAGGCACCAGTTTCATAGAACAGGCCAGTTAGTGTTATATCTGGCTCTCTGACTAAACGAGTTACATCAGCCAGGGAATGAGATTTACACAACGCAGAGCCTATTTCTGCTGCATGTTTCATCAATTAAGTCAAACTGACTCAAGCACAGATCAGTAGACTCAATTAGCTCATTTCCCATGTGTCATCCAGCACTAATGAATTACCACAGGTTGCCTCTCAGGGACTGAGACGGGAAATGACCAGCTGTCATAGAGCGTTTACAGCTGCGCCTCAGGGAAAAACAATAGGGGGCAAAACTAGATGGCTCTGCTAAGAGACTGCATTACGTTGAAAGTGCCAATAGTTAATTGGAGGGATTCTCAGTTGTATTGATCTGATGCGTTTAAAAGCAGAAACATCCCATTTACTGATTATTTCACCTCTTTCTCCTCAGGTCAGGAAGTGTCAAACACCACTGGCATGAAATCTACACTTTTGTCGAACATTTGGCTGAGAAGTTCACCAGGTACTAAAACAAACAAATGCCCTGAATCACACTATCGGTCTCAAATGGCTGGCTTTTGTAGACATTGTCCAATTGCGTAAGATTTCTGAAATAGGTCATGGATGATTTTACGAATGCATTGTACAAATTTTGTTAAATTATAACCATTTCTGGTCCATTTTTCATCATCTCACAGCCCTATGCTGCGGATGTCCTTCATCGTGTTCTCAACCAGAGGAAACACCATCATGAGACTCACGGAAAACAGGTGCCGAAAGACACGGCTTCTAGTGCTGCAAAATATTACTTTATTTCATTCTTCTCATTTTTGTTTTCACTTTCCAAAGGGAGACCATAAGAAAAGGCCTGAATGCTCTGAAACGAGAGATCCCAGGTGGAGATACATTTATGCATCTTGGGCTAGAAAAGGTAAAATGTTCAAATTAAAGTTATCATTCAAATGTACTTGTTTTAATGTCTCTTTAACACTATTATCTAATCTTTATTGACAGGCAAATGAGCAAATACACCAGGAAAACTTTGGTAGGTTTCTGTTAAAGACAAGTCATCTTTATTTATATGGCGCTTTATACATTACATTCAAAGCAGCTTCACTGTAATAAACAGGAGCATAACAAAATCAATGATGCAACTTCTTCAATAAATTCAGCTGTAAAAACAGGTCTAAAAAGGAAATAGTGTCATTATTTAAATTTAAAAGCATAGTTCACCCAAAAATGAAAATTACAAACAGTTGACGGCAGCTAGTTGTGGAAACACAGTCTTTGCATTGCCTTCCTTCTGATCTCAACATTAGGAAAGAGTGGATGAGATTTATTTTTAATGAAGATGCAGACCGCGTAAGTAAGAACTTGGTTCTTTGTTCACTTCATTTTACCGTGGATTCGTTTACAAACAAGGCACGATTCGACGCAGGATTTTCAGAAAGATTCAAACTAAACGACAATGCTGTGCAACTATATCGAAGGAATCACGATGTTAAGCTGACAGTCTGTCAGCCAACGGCGATGGACGATGGCATCGTCTATCGGCCCAACCCTACAGTGAATCGTTACAACTTAACGGTAGCCATTAACTTCCATAGTATCATTTTCCCAAACTTTGGAAGTCAATGGCTACCGTCAACTGTTTGGTTACCAACATTCCTCAGAGTGTCTTCTTTCGTGATCATCAGAAGAAAGAAGCTGATACAGCTTTGGAACAACTTGAGTAAATGATGACAGAATTTTCAGAAATTTGGGTGAACTATCACTTTAAGTCAGTTCAACAACTGTGTAAAATTCATCAATTTTGATACAAGTTCAATTCAGCTATAAGCAGCTCTACAGAAGACAGTGGCGTCATTATTCAGCTCAAGTCAGTTTACTGTTGATTCCATTAAACTCTATTACAGTTTGCCGTTACCTGACAATCTTCACTCCACTTTGTAGGAACTGCAAGTGTCATAATTGCGTTGACGGATGGTGAGCTTCAAGAACATCAGCTGATAGAAGCTCAACAAGAGGTAACAGGCTTGAAGTTCAGCATTCATTCTGCAGACATTTGTACATCTATCTTAAGACTCACAGTCTTCATTACGATTGATTGATATCTCACCAGGCGGCACGAGCTCGGGCATTGGGTGCAATCGTGTATTGTGTTGGAGTTAAGGACTTCAATGAAACGCAGGTAATAATGACAATGATGATCTTTTGTTGATGTTTTTAAAAGCCTCTTTGTCTTGAACTTGCATTGAAGCTTCAATAAGTACTTCCTTCTAACAAACAATGTTGGAGACTCTTCCTCAAGTATGCACTTAACAGAGAATGTAATTCTTTATAAACAGTGCATTTTATATGGAGGAAACAGATCAGATCAACCAATCCAGGCTGTAAATAAACGCCTATTTGTTCTGTTCTAGCTGGCTACCGTAGCGGACACCAGTAAGCATGTGTTTCCCGTCTTGGGAGGATTCCAGGCGCTGAGAGGAATGATTGACTCGGTAAACTGAAGCTATGTGGAAGATTAATTAAAAGTGCATTTTGTACATTCTCTAAGATGCATGTTCCTTACTTTAAGCTGAAGTGTGGGTTTTTGTCAGCGGTACTTATAACCAAGCTTCCCCAGAAATGAAAATTCTCTCATCATTTACTTACCCTCTCAGAGTGTCTTCTTTCGTGATCATCAGAAGAAAGAAGCTGATACAGCTTTGGAACAACTTGAGTAAATGATGACAGAATTTTCAGAAATTTGGGTGAACTATCACTTTAAGTCAGTTCAACAACTGTGTAAAATTCATCAATTTTGATACAAGTTCAATTCAGCTATAAGCAGCTCTACAGAAGACAGTGGCGTCATTATTCAGCTCAAGTCAGTTTACTGTTGATTCCATTAAACTCTATTACAGTTTGCCGTTACCTGACAATCTTCACTCCACTTTGTAGGAACTGCAAGTGTCATAATTGCGTTGACGGATGGTGAGCTTCAAGAACATCAGCTGATAGAAGCTCAACAAGAGGTAACAGGCTTGAAGTTCAGCATTCATTCTGCAGACATTTGTACATCTATCTTAAGACTCACAGTCTTCATTACGATTGATTGATATCTCACCAGGCGGCACGAGCTCGGGCATTGGGTGCAATCGTGTATTGTGTTGGAGTTAAGGACTTCAATGAAACGCAGGTAATAATGACAATGATGATCTTTTGTTGATGTTTTTAAAAGCCTCTTTGTCTTGAACTTGCATTGAAGCTTCAATAAGTACTTCCTTCTAACAAACAATGTTGGAGACTCTTCCTCAAGTATGCACTTAACAGAGAATGTAATTCTTTATAAACAGTGCATTTTATATGGAGGAAACAGATCAGATCAACCAATCCAGGCTGTAAATAAACACCTATTTGTTCTGTTCTAGCTGGCTACCGTAGCGGACACCAGTAAGCATGTGTTTCCCGTCTTGGGAGGATTCCAGGCGCTGAGAGGAATGATTGACTCGGTAAACTGAAGCTATGTGGAAGATTAATTAAAAGTGCATTTTGTACATTCTCTAAGATGCATATTCCTTACTTTAAGCTGAAGTGTGGGTTTTTGTCAGCGGTACTTATAACCAAGCTTCCCCAGAAATGAAAATTCTCTCATGTTCGGCGCGCACTTGCACTTAAATCTGACAGCGCATCTGTAATATGGCTTGTTAAAAATAACAACAGGTAAAACAGTCAGCGTTCGATGGATACGCATTCTGGCTTCCCAATAAGAGTACAACAACAACAACAAAAGACAAGGAAATCACTCACTGCTCTTGATTGAATAGCTTTTGTAACTTTAATAAGGATTCATCTTTAATTTATACAGTCAAATATGCAATGTTATTTTACTTTTGATTACTTTATTCAATTTATGTACCTAAAAACAAAAACAAAAAGCAGTGTTTATATTATTTGTATCTTTGTGCTGTTGCTTGTAGGTAGATTATTCTTATTTTCTTTATTTTTATTTGACTGTATTTTTCCCCTAAACATAGCACATACCGAACCGTACCGAAACCATGCCTCTAAAACCGTGATACAAACTGAACCGCGAGTAATCTGCACCCCTATTGCACACAGCATCTTTCGGACTAGGTTTCCGTGTAAACATTAAAGGTGCACACATTTATAGACCGTCAGGTGTATAATTACTCAAATCGAAATAAGTACGTTGACATAAAATAATCTTAGGTACAATTCCGGTATTGAACATGACAGTCTGTCAGACGCATTTATATCGTTTATATCATTGTGGTTTTATATTACCCAGCATTCCTCGAGCTCTCATGATTTCAGCAGGAAGGCATTGACTCGTGTGCTGAAAATACAGTGGATATTTCTGAGGGAACTGACATCATTAGAAGTCTTCTGTGAGGATTTATCAGCATTTATTGAGCAGCGACTGTGGGAATCTGTGTTTCAGAGTCATTTCAAGTGGTGGTGAGAGGGAATGGATTTCGACACGCCAGAAACATAGACCAGGTCCTGTGCAGCTTCAAAATCAACGACACAGTCACGCTCAGTGAGTGTTCTCCCCCTAAAATCAATCAGAGTACTTTTTCGTCATGAAAAATGAACATATATCGCTACGTTTATCACTCATTTGGTTTGGTTTGCTAAACACTGAACGTGTTATTCTTCTGTTTACAGACGAGAAGCCTGCGAGCGTTGAGGACACGTTCCTGCTGTGCCCCGCGCCTGTTATAGATGAAGTTGGAAAGTAAGTGCGAGGCTGACGAACAGGTCTGCCATGCATTAGGCCGTGTTTATGATCCCTGTCGAAGGTCACATTCCACTTCCTGCGCAGCTCGCTGGTTTAGCTGTGAGGTCATGCTGTTGATCCAGGCTTGATCGTGGCCTTCTTTTTCCTTTCGAATCTGAAGAGTCCCAGCTTTACATGAAGTCAGAGGCTCTGAGGAGCCATTAAAAGCTGATAGTTCCTCAGAAATCATTGTGTTCATCACACCCACTCTCTCTTTTTCTTTATACCTCATCCATTTTCTGTTCCCATAAACCCCAGAGGATCTATATTTTCTCCCCCGCTTCTGCTTTCCGTTCAACACTGATACAGCATATTAGGTTCACAATCATCTTGTTATCAAGAACTTTTTTTTTTTCCCGTTCCCGAGTTTAAAGTGTAAAGATTTTTGACGTTGCATATACATATTTTTATTCTTCACAGATTAAGTTTTCTAAATAACTAGACGATAAGTTAGTGCTTCTCTGCCTCTTTGAGTTTGTGGTCAATGTTTAATTTAAAATTATGATCGATATCGATAAACCAATACATATTTTCATTTTATGGCCAAAAAAAAAACAAAAACAATTTTGTCTAAAAAAAACTTCTGCTTTCCGTTCAACACTGATACAGCATATTAGGTTCACAATCATCTTGTTATCAAGAACTTTTTTTTTTCCCGTTCCCGAGTTTAAAGTGTAAAGATTTTTGACGTTGCATATACATATTTTTATTCTTCACAGATTAAGTTTTCTAAATAACTAGACGATAAGTTAGTGCTTCTCTGCCTCTTTGAGTTTGTGGTCAATGTTTAATTTAAAATTATGATCGATATCGATAAACCAATACATATTTTCATTTTATGGCCAAAAAAAAAACAAAAACAATTTTGTCTAAAAAAAATAAAAAAGTGAATTCTAATGAAATCTAGTTACTAGGCATTACAATATACAGTAAATATTACAATTAAAAGTGTGATTTTTGTTTTGTTTTAAATATTACCTTTAAATTAGTATTAGATGGTGGCAAAAATAATATTTATGTAAAACCCACACAATTATCAAATATCAACCGATAAACTCTGTTAGAAAATAAATATTTTTGAAAGTTTGAATAAAACAAAAAGAACTTTACTGGACTACATTTTACAAGAAAATATTATTGAATCCTTTCTACCTTAAATTCATGTTTAATCCAATGTGTTACTTGTCTTTTCTTACTGTATTTGTGAAATTTACTAGCAATTTCTGGGTAAAAATAGTTCCAAAGTAAATTATTTTATTCAGTGTATATATAATATTTATCGGTGCTGATCAATTATCTTATATTGGCTGATATGCTATCAATATATTGTGTGTGTTAGTCAGTATTTATTCATATTTTGAATTAATATTTTGTTTTCATTTTAAGTTTTGTTGTGTTTTTGTCATTTTTATTAGTTTTTTTAAATACGTAAATATAGTTTTTATTTATATTTATTTAGTTTGAGTTATTTTAATACACTAAATGAAAAAAACGATATATATTTTAAATTACAGGTAACAAAAATGTTTGTTTTAACTAACTAAAATAACCTCGGCGTTAATTCGATTTGATTTATTAATAATAATCGGAATAAGCAATTCTCCCAACCCTCTCATCCAATCAGAATTTAGAACCCTTTATTTTCCTCAGTAATGACTGGCTGGCAAAACTTCAGGCTGTTCATCATTAAGTTTTTGCACAGAGGAATGTGAACCTAATCTGAAGTAGATGCTCTTCATCAGAGAAAATGGTCTTATCTGTCAGACTTGGCCTCTGTGTGTTGGAAGACAAACCTCGGCGGGAATGCTGAACATTTGGAAAGCTGTTTTTATCGGATGTTTGAGACACTAGACAGCTGACTACAACAGAAGTTAACCAGCACCCTCCAGAGCTCTGCGAGGCCGCCAATTATGGTCTGGAAGGCATTTTTCATAGACCTAAAGATATGCAAACACATCTTTTTGTAAAAAATGAAAGTGGGGTTGTTTTTGGCACGCATGTCTCGTGTCTCTCTAAATCCCGCTGGTCTTGTTTTCTGCTTTTATGGACCCTGCTGTGCAACGTTAAAGGATTTGCTGGCTTTCAAAGTGACAAATATGGGTATGAAAATTTATCTTTGGTCTTTGCACTTCAGGGTGGTGTACCTGCAAGTCAGCATGAACGAGGGTCTGTCGTTTATCACCAGCTCCGTTCACATAACCACAACCGAGTGTGTAAGTCTGACTGCAAACACAACATCACATCCAGCCGAACTACAGCACAAACTACAGTTAAACATTCGCCTTCACACGTTCTCACGACACATCTTCCAGTATAAGGTGTTTAATCTGGGATCCAAAGGTTTATGGATTTGCGGGAAAGACTGAAGTTGAGTGATTTAAAGTAGAAAATCGGTCAATTCTTCTCAAACGAGGCCATGATTGAACATGCTGTATTATGTGTATAGTGTGACCGAGGGCTGAAAAATGCCCAGACTGACTCTTTTCTCTCTCGTTCGTTCTGAGTATGGAAAACAAATGAAACGGGCATCATTTCCTGTCTAAAATTGCATTAAGAGGACGTAAAATGTATCTAGCAGTGCTTCTGCTGTAGAAGAAGAAGTCACAGCATCAGCACAAGTTGAAAACGAGGTCATGGCAATGCTTTTACACGACTCTCTAAACTTCACTAAATAAAGTGTAGTTATTGGAAGAAAAATTGTCTTAAAGTAATCAGTCAGATTAGACCAGAAAACATTAGTAATATAAAGTAATAGTTAATTATACTCTAAATGCACAACTGGTCAAAAGTTTGGCGTAATTAATTTTTTTTTTATGTTTTTGAAAAAAGTATTTTCTGCTCACTAAAGCAGCATTTATTTGATCACAAATACAGTAAAAGTTTTTTTGAGTTATTATAGTTAACTAAAACCATTAAAAAAATAAAACAAACATAAATAAAACATAATAAAGTGAATATAATATGATATAATATAATACTTATTTTATTTCAGGCAGTTGCCAAAGCAACATTTCTTATTTTCATTTAGTTTAACATTTAGTGAACTAAAATAACTAAAACTTAAACTGAAATAAAGATTTATAAAAACCTTTGATGTGTAAAAAAACAAAAGAAAATCAAACAAATAAAAAAGCAATAACTAATGAAACTTACAAAGCACAACAAAATTACAAAAAAATTGAACTAAAATGAAAATGAAGCAGAAAATACAAAGATAAAAAACAACAATTCAAAATATTTTTTTAAATACTATAATCGTATCACAATAATACTTATATAATACTGATATATGAAATATTTAAAAAAATTTAAATAACTGTTTTCTATATGGAAAAGAAATGAAATCAACATTATTTCCTGACTAAAAGTGTACAATATTTATGCCGCAATGCTTCCGCTGTGGACGAAGGAAAAAATGTGCTCAGTTTCTGTTTAATTAATAATTAATTAATTATATATATAATTCTATATTAATTCTATGAATTTTATATATATATATATATATATATATTATAATATAATATAATATATATTCATGTTTTGAAAGAAGTCTCCTCTGATTAACAAGGCTGCATTTATTTGATCAAAAATACAGTAAAAACAGTAATATTGTGAACAGGGTTATTATACTTAACAAACTGTAAAAACATTTTGTTACATGAAATAAACTGTCTAAAATTGCATAAAGAGGACATAAAATATATCC